CGGAAGATTGTAGGTTGTAAATGGATCTTCAAGAAGAAGACCGACATGGATGGTAATGTATAGACCTTCAAGGCAAGGTTTGTTGCAAAGGGCTTTACTTAAATCCAAGGGATTAACTATGATGAGACCTTTTCACCAGTTGCTAAAATTAAGTTAATTAGGGTAATGATTTCCATAGCTTCTCATTATGATTATGAAGTATGGAAAATGGATGTTAAAGCTGATTTCCTTAATGGGAAACTGGCTGAGGATGTTTACATGGCTCAACCAGAAGGTTCTGAACGTGCCAAATTCCCTAATAAGGTGTGAAAGCTTGAGAAGTCCATCTATGGATTGAAGTAAGCATCTTGTAGCTAGAATCTTTTCTTCCATGAAAAGGTCAAAGAGTTTGGATTTTCTAGAAGTAAAGATGAGTCTTGCGTATATGTCAAAGCTAGTGGGAGCATAGTGACCTTCCTAGTCATGTATTTGGACGACATACTCCTAATAGGAAACGATCTTCCAACTTTCTAAGAAGTTAAGTCTTGGCTTGGAAAATGTTTCGCTATGAAGGATATGGGAGAGGCTACTTATATTCATGGAAGAAGGATTTATAGAAATACGCATAAATGTTTACTAGGACTTACCCAGAGTACATACTTGGATAAAATATTGAAACGTTTCAATATGGAGAATTCTGAGAAAGGGTACTTACCTACACATTATACTGTTAAGTTGAGCAAGGATCAATGTTCTAATAGTGATAACGAGATATATACAATGATTCGAGTCGAATGTTCTAAGTGGTTCATGACCTCCACTCGAAACACCAACCCTGAGACCCCACTTTTGCTATTCCAACTTTGAAAAGTACGAGTAATTCATGTGTAGTTCAGGATTGGTACAAATTGTGCCAATTCTACCAATACACTTCCCGATTCCCATGTGATGCTTGATCCGACCACACCATAAAGCAAACATCATTCCAGTTCTTGTACACTAGGGTGCACGTGGCCCACGTATCACACAACCATCTAGAAAGGTCGTGCAACTCACAACCGATATGGCTTAAGCTCTTTCAACCGCAAATTTTAAATTTTTATGATTTTGGAGTGTTACAAATAAGTTTTGTTTAGATTTTTATATTGATTATTTTAACTTTATATATATATATATATATATATATATATATATATATATATATATGTTAATTTGAATATCTTATATACATTATGTATCTGTAGACATTTAAGAAAATTATGATTTTATAGAAGTAATATAAATTTGAATAGAGTGTAAAGAAAAGATAATCAATCATGCACATGACATTTATATACAAAAAATTAAATATAACAACAATGTAATAAAAATAAATAAACACAACACGATAAATTTCAGTAGAATATGACTGAAACGAATAATAAGTATGTACTTTGAACTAATAGAGCAAGTTTATAACTTGTGTGCCATTTTAACAAAGTAAAACAACACAGAGACTATAAAAATCGTTATCATTATTCAGAAATCTTTACTATTATATAAAGCATTTTAGACATTTCTTGAAATTTAAGAGGTACCACACTTACTACATCATGTAAAATCAATTTATGCTTACCATTCAATACACATATTACATTTCCGTTTCAGAAATTAATCACATTAAACATTAATGCTTTATAAATTAAATCAAACGATACTCTTCCATCAATTAAATTACTTTCCTACTTTATTCCCCCAATCACGCGCTATTATCTCCGACCTTCCCCCATTAAAACCCACAATTAGTTTATCTCCGTTTCAATTTCAAAATTTGAATCCTAAAATCTCATATTCTCTTTTTACAAAGTTCCAAGCAGTATGGATACATAATAAAAGGTTTCATGGCTCAGGTAAAATTTCTACAATATTCTTTCTCTGAATGTTGCTTTTTTTTCTTACCATAGACCTAATTGGATTTCTTGTTAAAATAATGTGCCCTCAATGGAAATAATGATAATTTTGGGTCTCAACGGCGATGACGATATGATTCATCTTCTCCACCTCCTGATCAAATTATTAAACGCCACCATGGTAATCAAACTAAAATGTCAATTATCCAAAATAAATAAGAACTTTCGATTTTACATTATTAACAAGTATTTATATTTAATTATTTGGAACATATCCATACAAATCTTTCGAGCTTTTCTAGTGAGGATTCGATAAAAGTTGAAGATGAAGTTATGGCCCAACTATCAAAATTTTAGGGCAATGAATATTGCAAGACTTGCTAAAAGGGGAGATAACCTTCGAGTATATAGGTGCATGTGAGAAAACAATTTTAAAGATTTTCTTGAGCTTGTGGCCAAAAGATACTGTTCCCATGATCAACATAGAACTAAGCACCGTTGATTATAGTAAATTAATGGTTTATATAGCGTCAACACTAAAGTTGACAAGTCATTTTAGATATGGTTATATTTGATAAACTATTAGATATGAAATAATTGGCATATTATAGAAATCGTATTCCTTCGAATGTAAAACTAACCAAACCCCTAGAGTTGGTAATGGAAAATGATTAAACAGTTATTAATTCTTAATAATACATCATTTCGTAAGTATGGCTATGGCTTTGTTATGATTTTATTTGATGCAGATCAACTTGATGATTTATCTCATGTTTTCATGGATAAGTGGAAAAAAATCAAACGGGTTTAAAAGATGTCCAACTTAAAATGGAAGTTATTTTTTATTCGTAAAGAATTTGAAAATGCGCGATACATGGTTAGAAAGTTCTGTCAGGATTGACGGTTTGTCCAACCATCGTCGCCAAGTTCCTTTGTGTAGAGATTCAATTTTAGTCTTCCCGGATTTCAGTTTTATTTTCTTGTTTTCTTTTATTCTGGTTTTAAGGCGGAATATTTGTTTTCCGTTATTTTTGTTATTCCAATATTTAGTTAGAGGGTAAATTACGGATATTTCATCTCAACTTTAATGTTCAAAAATTTAGTCATACCTTGAGCGCATTAGGGATTTAATAAAAAATATTATCTCTTATGTTTTCAACTCACTTTGTGTTTTGTTTACTTTTCTTCTACGCCATATTCACGAGTGAATCATCGCTATATCCTAACGCGAAAACATAAAAGGTTCATGGTATTTATACTATCAGGTTGTAGTCGTAAATACTATTCGACGCTTAAATTTTTCTAAAGACACTAGATGCAATAAATGCATTACCTCTAGCAATGAGCTAAAAGAAGACATTAATACATGGAACAAATAGCATCGGTGCTCCCCTAGGCGAGAAACTTGGTCTGATAGAGTCTTTGTCAAGAAGTTCATATAGTTGGCTAGAGAGCTTTTGCATCTTAGATGGTGCCAGTCTATAAGAAGCCTTTGCTACTGGTGCTGCTCCTGGAACTAGATCAATTCAAAATTCGACCTGACATACTGATGGTTGCCCAGGTAGATCCTCAGGAAATACATCAGGGTAATCACACCTAAGGTACATCCTTGATCTCTTCCCTCCTCTCCTTCTTATCAGCTATGTGGGCTAGGAAGCATAACATTTGTTCTGTAGGTACTTCCTAGCCTTTATATAGGAAATAATCCTAATATTCTTACTAGGTTTGTCTCCATAGACAACTATTTAATCTCCATTTGGCAAGCATTTAAACTTATGTTTTTTCATGAATAATTGGTTGAATTTATAGTAAAATTAGTTAATTTATGAAATCTATAATTGTTTTATGAATTAACACAAGTGGCCGACCACGATGGGTTCTTAACGTATGATTTAATTCATTGTAAACATAAAATCACATATGTTTATGTTTCCGAGCTTATGAGAAATATTGACTATTGTTGGTAATACTTGTAACGAATTTAATGCAACTTTACAATCAAAATCTAAGAGCTTATGTGGATTTGGGTTAGTAAAATTAGATCTAGTTAAAGAGCTTCTTTTGACTAAATAATTTAACAAGTGAAAGTGATATTAGATTTTATCAATAGTGCTACTACCAACTTACGTTGAAGAGTTAAGTAAGGTCCCATGTTTTAGTTGTTCCGAGAACTTGTGATGCTTCTTTACTCTAGTTCATCCGATTCTTGATTGTGCTAATGTGTTGTCATCTATAACATATTAATCTTTTTTTTAAGCTGTCTGGATGTGGGGATAAAGATCTAATCATCTAAGTTTGCATTTACTATGGGTGTTTGTAAAAAAAAAAAAAAAAATGATGAGGGTTGGCCGGAGAAGATGGCAGGGGCCAGCCAGAATCTACTGTGGGGGAGGTAGGCGGTAGGGGTAGGGGTGTTCTTGGAAAAAGGTGGAGTAATGGCAGTTTGTGTTGCATGTTTTGGAGTTGTTCCCGTGGGTATTTATTGATTAAAAGGTTTGGGCATAATCTTGATCTGTCCATTTGTTTGATTATATTGATGTTGAGATTCATATACAAGAGATATGTCAAAATGAGTTTTGGATTATTCAAAATCGTTTTAACAAACACCCACACACATACATGCACATATAAAAAGAAGTTTATAAAAAAAAAACACACAAATATACAACTTAATTAACCACATGGTACACATACAATAAAATATGACACTTACTATTTTTCTACTTTAATATACAAACATATGTTCAAATTTAATAACAGAAACACGTAAGAACATGAAAAAGCTTGGATTAAGATATTAAAAATGGTGGGTCAACAAATTCTATCGACGGCTAACGACCAAGGATTTTGTATTTTTGTTAGTGTAGTAGTTGCCTTGTAAGACTTCAAATTTCGTGTACGCTGTTCTTAATTGACTTAAAATTTTCTTAATTTGTTTCAATCAAACAGATTTTAATCGATTTCATCGAAGAAAACTGCTTAACAAGGCAGAGATGCATGATTGTTGTATGCTTAAATTATTGAGATTATAGATGGGAATTTATGTTGAATTAGAAAGGAAAGAAATCATATGAAATACAATCACAGAAAATGTAACATACATTAATTTTTGTAATTTGTTGAGAAGATGATTTATGCAACAGCGACAGATTTGGGAGGTTTTGAATTAAGGATGCCTTTAACTGGACTTGGAAAGTACCATCCTTTTCGTTTCGACGGCGACGGACCAAAGGCGCTACTGGCTCCGACAGCTACTGATCTAGATCGCTTCATCATCGAGAAATCATCCACCGCCGGTGAATCATGGAACTTATTCGATTCATCCTCCATTCCTTCGCCGTGTACGTCGCATTTTTTACTCTTATTAGTCGTAAACACAGACCAGAAATTAATCTTACTCCGGCTAACTTTAGGCAGAGCTTTATTGTTTTCCGGAGCTATCTCAGCATCGCGTGATTCGCATCCGGCGACTGGACCCCCAACGAACCTAGATCTCGAACGGAGGAAAGGAACAGCTACAGATCGCGATTTCCGCAACGACGGTTCGGTTTCGAGGTTATTTGACAAGCGGACTGCGTCGGCGTTGGCAGTACACGGTGGAGCGTAATCGCGACGACTTCCGCCTCGGGAGAAGGCGAACAGGGAAAACGAATTGGAAGATGAGGAAGAAGAGGAGGAGGAATCGACCGGAGGTGGACAAGAGGAACAGGGGAGAGCGGTGGCGCATTCAGGGCAAAGTGTAACGAGACGTTCCCGGAGACATTTTGGACATATTCCACTCTTTCTTCTCCTCGACGGATGTTTGGGACACTTCCATACTTCTGCTTCATCCACGTAAAGGGCCATAATTGAGTGCTTCAAAATCAACCGTTAGGGTTTTTCCGGTGGGCCTGTTTGCAACTGCTCCTGATTCTCTTTCTTCCTCTCTCTCTCTCTCTCTCTCTAGGAATTGTGTTGATTCTGCGGAGGGTGAGAGGTGCTTAAAAAGGAGTGCAGAGGGAGGGGCGAAGGTGCTAATCGTGGTTTATTTTATAGTATTTAGTTATTTAGCAACACTTGGTGGACTTATAAATATGGGGACATGCATTTTTTGTACATAAATCCAAACTAAACATTCGTTGCTTATAAAATGTGTCTATATTAGTCATTTGAAATAATAGAATATGAAATATGGGTTAAAAAGGGTTACATGTGTTAGAGGTTATTAATGTACATATAAGTTAACTTTTGGTTTTCTTTTGAATAAGATCACATGCCACAAAGCTTGTACGTCACACTCATTGAAGATTGGTAACAGAAATGAATATTTAGGGGTAGGGGTCGTTCATCCTCCTTCGTAGACTAGCATCTGATCTATTGAACATGCCCCTTCATTTTCTTTTCAAAAATCGATATGTGTTGATTACTTCACCACATAATATGTTGACATGTATAATAATGATGCACCCACCACCTGGACCCAAGTAAACTAGGGCTACGGGCTACCCTAAGCCTAAAGTTTCAAAGCACATGCTTATTGTTGACCATGAGGCCCTCCGAAATACATATTACGGAGGGTTTCGTTGTCCACCGTGGCATGAACCACGACCATGAATGCTATCTCGGCTTTCTTTTCATTGTCGTGGAGAATTGTGGTGGACAGGACGGTAGACCATGGTCAATCACAATGAAGGGTAAAAATTGATCGTTGAACGGTCAAAAATGTATATTTTTTTTTCATTTTTAAACATTTACCTACAAATACACCCTGCTACTACAATATTTTCAAATCATTCTTCTCCTTTATATTCCGTAAAATATCACATAGATGAATATTTCTACAAATTATGATTCAGATGATGATGAAGAATTTATTTCAACATTTTTTAATGTTGTGCAACACATATACGATGAAGAGCGTACATATGTTATGCATACAAGAACGATTGCCAATCGAGATTATCAAGCCGCACATAAACTTTTGGTACGTCATTATCTTATCGATATATACCTTTATAATGATAACGCATTCGAATATCATTTTTGTCTTAATATGGCATTATTTTTACATATTAGTGATGTTTTAGAGTGTAACATACACGTTTTGAAATCGTGTTATGTAATTCGAAAAGTTAATAATATTATGTGAAATTGAGTGTTGAGTTCTAACAGATAGTTTTTACTAGAAATGAAGTAAAACTATGTTTAGAATCACTCATAAAATGTTGGAAGTCTTATGAGATTCCAATTAAAAGCCAAATAGTGAAATTTAGCGAAAATATAAAATTTGAAATAAGTAAAGTTTTATTATTGAAAGTTGTAGATAATCTCGTTAGAAACACGTAGGCTAAAACCTCATCGAAATCCGAGTTATAACGAAGAAGTTGTGACCAATCTAAGATCCGCGATAAAACCGGCACGGTGCCGAATGACGTAAAAAGCGAGTTTTTGATAAACTACTTTTTATCCTTAGTGATCTAAATGAAAGTCGTAGTATTCGTTAAACCGAGAAGTTCGATAAAAAGAACGCCAAAATCTGACTGCGTATGAGGAAGTAATGATTTTTACAAGTTTCAGCTTAGCAGTAGACAGCTAAAAACTCGAATTTTAGATCGAGTGATTTTTAGCCGACACAACCTAAACGAGAATCGAAGGTCTCGTCATTAGTAGTACAACGGTAAAAAGTCTGACGAAAACGGACGTCGGATGAAGAAATTATGAATTTTTAACGGATTTACCAGTCCCGGTCTGTTAAAAATAATAATATAAAAATAAAGTCAAAATTTTCTGACGAAGTCTAAACGAAAGTTGTAGAGCATAATCTTCTCTACGCGTGCATATAAAGAACGTCAAAAGCGGAGCTCGTATGAGAAAGTTACGGATTTTACAAGATTTGGCACAATTTTCGAGAAAAATCGCATGAATAGTGATTGCCACGTCACCCTCGCTCAGAGCTGGCCACGTGTCCGAAGCTGCTGCGTGGCATGTCCGAGAAGCGACGCGTGTCGCACAGGTTTCCGAAGAAAGCCATGTGATCCGCACATGAAACCCACATGATCCGACCCGCGTGTAGGCTTCTGATTCGACCGAGGAGGAGGCCCAATCCGAAGCGAGCATGTGTCCGAACCGAGCCTCGCCCTGCTGACAGCTGGTCCGAGCCTCGCATGCGAGCCTCTCGCTTCCCAGCCTCGGATCCGAAGCTCCGGATCTCCTCCCCTATAAATAGTGGCCTTGCGAGATTACCCGGGTATTTTGAGAATTTTGCCATTTCTCACCCATTATTCCATATTTTTAATATTTTGACTTCCCCCGAAGCCCCGGGATTAATTCTAATGCCCAAAACACGCCCCGAGATTCCCGAGAAGCCCGAAAAATTTATCTTTTCGGTTTCGAAGCTCTACCTTCGCAGAGCCCGGTTTTCAAGAAAACTCCCGGTTTTCAACGACGAAAGTCATATTTAGAGCCGAAGTGCTGCCCAAATTATTATTTTGACCCCCGGTTAATTCACGGTGAGTTTAATATGTAGAAACAATTGTATTTTATGTGTTATATGTGCTATGTGATTTTCCATGTTATCCTCTCGAGTTGTTGTATCCGCTATTTTTATAGCAAGGCTGTACCTCTGACTTGAAGTGTATGACATAGGCATCACTTGGGTATTGGTATGAACCGTTGACCATGAAGTGTATGACATAGGCATCACTTTGGCTTCGGTAGAATAATATTTCTGAGTATTTTCCCGTGTTATTTTTATTTCTGCTATTTATGATAGCAAAGCTATACCTTTGACCATGTGATCAGTTTGAGAACTTAGATTCACAGTGGTACTGGTATGTAGCCTCTGGCCATGTAGAGCATGTCCCCCAGTAAGTGAATGGCTCTATTCTATGGCATTGGCAGAAGGTTAGACAGGGCGTGAAAACCTGAAATCTACCTTAATGTTAATCAGAAATTGTTTGTCTTCAGTGCCATTTGGGCCGAAGCGTTATTGATGTTTATCAAGTATGGAAATTGTTATGTCTCAATGATTGTATATCTTTGAATCAAATCAATAATTGTTAGGGAAAGCTTATCACATTATGCCTTTGTTGTTCCTTGCTCCTATTTGCTTCTGCCATATTGGTATATATATGGCATAACGTTATATTGTATCTATTATTGAACTCACTAAGCGTTATCGCTTACCCCTCCCAATGTTTTAACATAATGCAGGCAATAAGCACCCAATATAGTTGGAAGACTTAGAATAGTTGTAATATTATTTTTGTATTTTGGTTTAGGTTTGTATAGATTTACAATATCCTGGGTAGTCATGTAAACTCTCAAAACATAGTCGGTTTGTATCCAATCTTTTGTAATGACTTTATCAATGTAAAAATATTGTTTTATGAATATGCATGTAGCATGTTTTGGAGTAACTATATTGTCAAGTATGAAAGTTTGGGTCTTTCAGAAATATGAAAGTATAGAAAGGGGTTCTTTCAATCATGGTATCAGAGCAGTGGTTTAAGTGAACTAAATTCGATGGATTGGTATTTAGACTTAAACTATTGGAAGTTCAATATATGAACTGAATCATTGTAAATATATGGATACAAACCATAGGAAACACTTAAGTGGGGTATTGGGTAGTGATAAACCCTAGCATTCTAAGACATTAAGTTACTTCAAATTTTTTTGAGAACTAGTTTATATAAACTAGGAATTTTGAGAATTTCTAGATTTAGACATGAATTGTTAAGTGATGATACAATATGTATCTAGTATACTTTAGGTTGAATACCTAATGGGGCACAAACACTAGAATATTAAGATGGGATATGCCTTATATTCTAAGATGTGCTAAATGATAAATAAATATAGCATGCCTTAAGTTGCTTAGCTATATTGCTATTACTTGATAAAGTTTAAGGTCTGTTACCGACCTTGGTTTAGATGAGAAAAGTATATGTTCAGAATTCTAAGAATTTCCATAATAGAATTTACATGAAACATTTCGAAGTGATAAAGAGACTTATGATAGTTGACATCGATAAGTTTATAAATAAACGATTGCGGGATATCGTAAAATAATAAATATGAAGTGAAATCGTAAATAGTGTATTAATACCAATAGAGTGGTATTATACATTTAAAATATGTAAGATAATATAATAACATCTTTGGAAGAAAGATGTGCGTTTAAAATACATTTAGATGAGATAAATGTTTTGGCATAACCGATGAAATTGTTCCACCGCTGTCCAGATTAAAGCAGTGATAGTTTATAGAGTCGGAAGAACCGAGGATAGTAATAAATACTTCAACAGTATTGAAATTAATGTAGTCCAAGATTTAGAAGAATTAAATGAAGATCAAAGGAAAGGCTAATGAAGTTTTTAGACTTATTAGGCCAAGACTTCGTGATGAAGTATGTAGTTCGAGTAGTAACCCTATACAAGATGCTCAGACTTAGTATTTGATAAATACTGAGTGATGATTGACTTCTATCACCTCCTTATGGAAGTTCCATTGTGTGTTAAGCCGACTTTAACATACAAGATTGGGATAGTGAAATAGGTTATTCGGTTGTGAAAAGGCTGAGTGGCTTACTTGTTAGAGTAAGGTAGAGTACTTAGTTGAAGAAGTTATACACTCATATTATTGTATGAGAAGAAATGTTGTAGTTAAGAATGACAGAGAACCAAGTTGAAGCTAGTAGAGCTTGCTGAGATGCAGCTATAATGAAGACTTCTTAGGATAGACTCCTATGAAGTAGACTTAAAAGATACAACCATGAGAAGAAGACTTACTCAGATACAGGAATGACGATGTCATGAAAGGATAATGAAACCAACAAATATGCATGATGGTTTGCATGAGTTAGA